AGAAAGAAAATTACGTCCTACTTCACACAATTTCCCTGAATGGAAGGGAATCATTTTCTATCCCTACCATTTCCTTCAGACCAAACAGGCTTAAAATGCTTTTTCTTACTGACCTGTTGTTGCAATGCAAAAATATGGGCAACACAGCCATAGACAGGATCACGGATTCTGGCTTGAGCCTCGTAGGCGATGGTGACAACAGCCTCACAGCGATCATGAACCGGGATATGCAACAACAATTTCGAGACATTACTGGCACCAAACACCTTATGAATGGCAGCAAACCGAGCAGGACCCTGCTCTGAGCAAAAGTAAGGTGCAAAGACACAATCCGAGGCGCATTTCCTGCGAAGAAACTTGCATGCACCACAAGGAGAGCCAGTGCCGGTGCCAGAAGATGCCATGGAAAGAAGATGAAGAAGTAAGAATCTCAAAGAATTGCAAGGCGCACGGGGAGACTAGGAAATGGTGCAAAAAGAAAGAGAAAGGGGAGAGGCAGGGGATGCGTATTGGGGTCTTGAGGGGCACAAGTGGGTCTTATAAGAAGTAAGAAAGGGGGGACATGGAAGGTCCTGGTGTATGGTTTTAAAGGAACATTTATTAATGGTTTATGCAATATGGGGTTTGTATTTGCATCTAATTAGACCAAATAAATAGATTTAGATCATGGGGGTTTTTAATTGATGGGGGAAGTCAGTGTTATTTGGAATTTTTTAAAGGAGGAGGTTGATTTTTAGGTGCTTTGGTAAGTTCTAATTTCTCTTTTCCGCCGAACGCCGCACCTGGGAGCTGCTGCTGCTTGTCGGTTTGTGGCTGCTAATGTTGGATTGCCACCTGCCGGAGGAGCCTACCGACAAACAATTAAGTGAATTGGGAGATTGAAAATTGGGTGTTTGGTTCCGAACAGTTTTTTGATGTAAAAGATTCTTATATAGAAGAGGAGAATTTATGTTCCTTTTATCCCTTAAAATCATTAATGTTGGTAAAGTGTGGTTGCCAATGGGATGCAATGCTTCATTTATCAAGACAAAATAATAAGAACTTTGAAGTTGGGATCAAACCACTTTTGATTTTTGGGTAACTTTTGTTTGCAATCAAATCCATTGTGTGCTTCTACAAATTTTTGGGTTAAGGGGAGAGGAAATGATTTATTTATTTATGTTAATTGGGAGGGGACTAGGTTAGGTTGTATCACCAAGTACTTCCCACGAGCTATAAAGTTGTCACTTCACTGGCAAAGTGCAGAGCATTACAAATTAAGTTTACTGATTACGTATTAACCAAAAAAATAAATAAATAATTAAAGTTTACTGATTATGTGACCTTGTATATTGGATTATACTTGCATCTAACAAACCAAACCTGTATATCTAGTTCCTACCATAACACATGCCCTATGGTACATTTTCATTTTGGTAGAAAATTTTAATTTAATGGTTTAAGAATCTATAGCTTTTTAACTAATAATTTAAGTAATTAAGTATTAATTTTTTCATAAAAATAAGAAGTTTTAGTTTAAGTTGTGAACATCTAAGTGGGACTATAGAAAGGCAATGGGATAAGAGAAATGCCTGTTAATGTACAATAAATAATAATAATAATAATAAATCCCTACGCTTTTAAAAAAGAAATTGTGATTATTTTTATCATTGATTACTTTGTTGTACTAATCTTAAACCATGTCCAAAGACAGCTTCGACTGTATTATATTGAGGGGATTATTAATACAGGCAGCAACGCTTCCCCATTCATTGCAGCTTCCCAACCAATTTAGTTCATGCAATCTTTCAAACATCCTATTTGAATTAGTTAGTACAACCTAACTTAGCTAGTTTTTAATGTTACCCATTGTCCAAAACCCTTCTGATTTCCATCTTTTATAGTCAACCAACACATCGATAAAGTTTCCTCAAATCAGTCTGGTTGGAGACAGGGAAAGAAGGGCAACGCAATGGGGAAACCAAACCACACCATACACGAAAGGGAATGCGAAGAGGGCAGCATATATGTATTCAGAAGGGTGGAGGGTCCATCACTCTTTTAACAGAGAAAATTGGCTGTTTGTACTAGTGCTTATTCTTACCTCAGCTATGTAACCAAGTTGCATCACACTTGGCCAGTCCATCTGCCACTGTTGCACAAGAGACTTAGAATCATAGCATTTAGAAGTGCAGATATTTCTTTGCCACTTCTTCTCATCCGCATTTATTTCACAGCGTCATCCAGGCACATGGCACGCATGCAAACTCTAAGTTTCTGCACCGCATTAGCCTCCATCCTTGTATGCACTTTAATGCTAATCTATAATGAAGATTGTAACAAATTTCATGTCCAGTGTGTAACATAGGCTACTTTTCAATATGAGGACAGGGATCATTGATACACAGAATAATGAGATTGCAAGAATTTTCTGAAGAGACGAATCACCCATGTGAGCGGTTACCTAATAAGCTAGCTGGATGTCACAGCCATTTAATTGCATTGCACACAAAATATCAAAGTCGAAACACTTTTGCCATCACTTATGGACAGCACGCCGAATGTATATTGCTTAGAGCAGAAGTTCAAAAGGATAAAAGCTCTCCAAGCAAACCACAAAATGATATCTTGTCTTTTGACTTAACATTCAAAACATAACAAACTTGACCTGTCCTGATATTTACTAGGAGCGACCTTCCTCAAAATAATGAAAACAATCCACATTGCCACTCCTCATCTCTTGTGATTAAACCTCACCTTCAACAAGAACTGCATCTTGACCTGTCAAAGATCAGAGATTGACCTCATTAAAAACCAAATTTTCATGTATTACTTTCACGGATTGTGAATGTGTCAGTCTCTCATGCATACTACAAGATCTGTATACTTAGAGTCTAAATGTACGGCTTACTTGTGCTGTGTTATAGACAATGTACTCGTTATACATCAGTTCGGAAGCCTTCACATTTGATGGCACTGGTTTTCCACAAGGAACAATAACATCATCCCTCCACTTCACAAATTCGGATTCCTTGGGAACCTTTTTGCCAAGTCCTTTTGTAGAATGCTTTCCTTCTGGCGGTTTGTCCATATACTTAACAAGAATAAGATAAAGTAAGAAGAATTGAAGAAATGCCAAGTATCACATGTATTCATGATAAAAATCATTTCTTCCAAACAATGTTTTTGGACATTAAAAGCCATAGAAGAAATCAAAAAATCCATGAACTAAGCTTGCGTGTGATGGTTGGAAGAAGAAAAAGAAAAAGAGTTGCATGTTATACTAGTTTTGATACATTTGACAGGCATGATGAATGAATGTAAAATTTAAAGAAAAAACAACAATGGGCATTTCAGAAAGTCATGGGAAGTGCACTCACCTTGGCCCTTGTAAGCTCGTAAACCTCTCCTAAGGCAACTTCACTCAGAAGCATTAGGCCCACATGATTTTTCTTATCAGTGTAGCAATACTGAGCACTCTTACTGACCAAATCAGCAAAATAAATTCCCTTGCCAAACTATAATGTAGAAATGTTAAATTGTTAATCTTTCTAAAAATTAGGCAGAGATGTCACTTATGATGTAGTGAGCACATGCAATGCACACACACACACAAGCATGCACACTCACACACATGCAATTGCACACAGAGAGACAGAGAGAGAACCATATAGCCAGTAGCTGGAGCTTCAGGAGGAGCTATTCTCAGACCCTGGCTGAGTATTCCCACAAAATTTGTCAACCGAGAACCTGAACAGGAAAGTTATCAGTTTCCTATCACACTTAAAGCAAATTGCAAAGGTAAAGTGCAACTCAATGCCAAAAAAAATTTCTTCTCTGTGAACTAATTCCCACTCACCATGCCACAGAAGCATTCTGTTGCTAAGCTTTTCTCGATAGGGAGCAAACTTATCAAATTCTTCTTTTCTTTCAAGTGAAAAAACTTCTTCCAGTTCAAGAGACCAATCCTGAGGGTAACATGAAGTTAGTAAACTATTTCCTACATATTAAAACTACTTCAAAAGGAAAAATTATATATACAACAGCAGAAGAGAGGAAAAGGTAAAGCTCAACACTAGCACATAAGGTGATCTCTCAAAGCATAAGAGAACACAACTCACTGTATGAGTAGGAGCATGAGTAGTAAGAAGATATTTCTCAATCAACTGATAATCTTCACTGTCATGAGGAAGTGGAGTGATATCACAACGAAGCCTCTTATATTTGTCATCAAGGGAATCATCATTGTTAACATCAAAACCTACTAATCTTGAAGCTATTTCAATGTCCTGGAGAGCTTCCAACATTTTCACCTGCAATTGAATCACAAAAGGACTACATTATTCCTCAGAGGAAAAAAAAAGAAAGGAAAAAAGGGGTTCAATCACCAAAGTCTTGCAAAGTTCATTTACAGTTCAACTATCCATGTTCTGTGTAAAATGTATCTAGTAGAAAACATCTTTCTCTTTAATAACTGTTGTGTGTGTGTGTGTAATAGGTGCCATGGAATATCAATAAAAATAAATGGAAATGGGATCAAATGAGAATACGTGGTATCATTATACAGAAATGAGGCATGTTGACTATAAATCATTAAAGAAAAATGAAATGTGTAACCCCATGCAGACTTTTTTACCTTTGACATAAAATCATCTTCATTCCTTATGATATGAGGATGAATAGAAGGAATGACAGTAAAAAATCTATTACTGGCATCAATAATCAAGCTTTCTTTGACCGAAGGATCATATGCATTGCTGTTTAATAGATTTTGTATCTCTGTTAATGCCTCAAAACCTGGACAAGAAAAGAATAGCAGGTGATAAGGAATTAATTACCCACAAACAATTTCTACTCTGAATAATGCAATAGAAATAAACTTCATAAATATAACAGCTAACATTAGAGAACACATTACAGGGTAAAACAATAATTAACTTTTACAGCCACGCACCCTTCTGGATATTACTTTTACTCAGTTTTCCAAGAGGCATTTCTGACATGTTAATCTCAAACTCCATCATTGCAGCTCTGCACTCAAAGGGTTGGTTTTTTAGATATATAAACCATAAAAACGCACAATTACATTTTTTCTTTAATATATAGAGAGAGATAATCTGCCTCAAAGTGGGCAAGCCACTACCTGTATGTTTCTACATTAAAAAGCACTTTCATCAACTCTAATAGTGGAGGAGGAAGCCTACTGTCTGCATCACTATGCTTATTCTTTGAGACCTGTTTGCTAACTCCATAATCCTACAAATTGAAAAAATAGGAGAAATTTAACTGGTTATAGAGAGTAAATTATCACATAGGAAAATGCTTGGGTACATATAAGTAGAAGTACAACCAGAAGATGAATCTGATGACTTGATCCAATGGTGTAGACAAAGTGCACAAGCAAAATGTTGTCTTTTGTGCATTGTATCTCCATCACTTGATCAAGTCATACTAGCAGACCATAGAAGGTGTAAAATTACTAGCATTGCAGAGTAGTTGGTATCCTAAATAAAATTACAAATACAACCATGGAGAGGGAGAGAGAGAGAGAGAGAGAGAGAGAAGCAGTACAATATCCAATGGGAAGAATCTGCCAGGTTGCTTTTGGAAATTTTTCTTCTGTTCCCAGGCCTCCCATGTATTCCCCGTCTTCTCAAGAAATAAACGTTTGAATTCAGAGATTGCATCAGATTTTGACATTTCTTCCAGTTTGCTTCCACCAATTTTTTCACTACCAACTCGACCCCACTTACGGAACACATAACAATCAGAACCTTTATCATCTTGGATTATTTGGAGAATGTAGTAACTTCATAGCAGAAATGGGTATATGTTAGAATTCATTTGAAGAAATTAGACAGAAGGTAAAAGCATGAAACATCAAGTTAAAAGTGAAGGAGAAATTTCCACTGGGCATCAAATATGTAGATCAATCACAGCAAGGAAAAAAATATAGCAAATCATCAAGTTTGTAGAATAATAAAAAATTTTCTCTTTCATTTGCAAAAAAAGGGGAGCATGTATATGCTTTTTTTTTTTCTGGGGGGTGGGAAGGGGGAATGGTTTTTCTAGGGAACCAATTTGTTCTCAACAGGAACAGAAACTATCAATCAGATGGTCCTAGAGGAGTCATTTTTTTTATTCAATTTGAGTTCATTAACTGCATCACTGCAATGATACAAGATCTAAGATTTAGACACGTGAAAACATCACTGGAGTTCCATATTTCTGTGATATTCCTGTATTCCTTTTTGAAAGGGGATCAAAAAAGAGGGGATAATATGGCAGGAAAAAGGAACCCTTAATCATTCTTTGGATTTTGAAAGCAGCAAGGAACCAACCATTGATAAGTCAAACTGAAATACAACAGCAATATCTAGAGGCAAACTGATAAAGGCATTCAAAGAAACGTTCCAGAGCAGAAAAGGCCACCAGGTGAACTAAAAAGGAAATAATCTTAAAATTAAGAAGACAGGATATACAAGTCTGACCTGTTAACACCAGTTGATAAATCAGACATGTTCATGGTAGTGTTGTATATACTTCCCCCATCCTCAAGGATGTGACCTGTATCCTGCAGGCCAGAAGCTTCATGCACAGCACTTTGCCCTTTTACTTTGACAGTGACCATGCTAGAGGCTTCTCCAATGGCTTCAACTTTATACAGGTCAACTGGAAGCTTCTTCTGTTTTTTAAAACAGTCAACCAAGTAATCCTCCCTAACAATTGGTAGTTTCATCCTCCTGCCAACAGAATCATTCTAAGCAGGACTACAAATCAAGTAACAAGAAACATATAACAACCAGAAATATAACAGCAGTTTTACCTTGCCTTCCTCATCTCAGCATCATGTTCACCCAGCACCCCACTCACAACAAGGCAGTTAGTGTCTGCAATTTGATTTGTTAACTACAATACCAACTAACGTGTATCACAAGTAACAACAATTGATTCAGAGAGCAGACCAGGAGGTGCTACCTTTCTTGATCTTAGGATTAAATGTTCCACCTGCTCCCTCAATTTTACACTTCCACTCTTCCTGTACAATGAATCTCCTTGTGAATAAAACATAACTCTTCTGAAAGAAAGAACCATTAGATAATTTCAAAGAGCTACAAACATATATCAGAGAAGAAAAGAGTACACTTATACCATGGACTCCTTAGGTAATCCAGCAATAGAAACTTTTAAATCTGCCAAGCTTTCAGACTTAGAAGATTGGCAATGGCTGTTAGCGGCATGACTTGAAGAAGCATTGCTGGATGATGGTGGAGGCAGAATCCGAACAGGCTTCTTAACTTTTTGTGATTTAAACCACTGCAACAAATTGAGTCAAGATATAGTTTCAATTTTAGAATTTTAGATACATGAATATCACATGAATCTGAGTTAAATACCTTGGTAAGATATTCATTTTTTGTTTCATCTGGGACTTTCCATTTTCCTTTAAGACGTTCAGGTTCATGAGTTGAGTAAGAACACTTGCTCCATTCTGATAGGTAGCCATGGCATCGGTACAAGCCTCCAGAATAGCGAAGTGAACCAGAACACAAAGGGCATTTACCAAGCACTCCAAACATCATCCCATCCACACTAAGTAATAATTACAAAAATTTCAAATTTCAGTGTAAGCATTCTATCCTCAAAGCATGAATGAAAATATTCTTCCATCTAAATGCAATGCAGTAGTAAAAGAGACAATGTACTTTTTACCGTATAGAAAGAACAGATTCAAATATCCAGTGTTTGATAAAGTAAGGCAAGCATGCAAGAGATTAACATTCAAAAGACAGATCGAGTACAAGAATTGGTAAAATATTCAAGTCAGTTCAAAGGATAAGCACGTAAAACTTGGGTTGAAAAACATATGTGAGAAAGCTTGGGAACATTATGATTTAAACATTAGGGGGGAAAAAATAGAAAAAGGAAAAATAATCTGCCAAAAGGTTTCATAGAAAAGATTTACCAGTGATCACGCAAATCAAGTTCTGACCCTGTTGCATCTTGATTATTGGCTTCCAGCATTTCACGCAGTTCTGCTGTTGTCACATGCTTCTTCAGATCATCCTTTACAGCCCACAATGCTTTGGTTTGGGCCTCCAGTTTACGTTCTAGATCAGAATCTTTTACTTGTCCACCCACCAAGTTTGAATCTTCTTCAACCTTGGCAACTTTGGATGTCTGACCACTGCTAACATCATTTTTACGTTTGGCACCAGCCCTAGAGGTTGATTGCTGCACAACCCCTTTATCCTCTTGTCCTGCTATTCTTTTGCCTGAAAGGTGAAGGTTCATTCAAAGAGATGATCAGTTAAAACATAAAGAGAACCCCAAGAATTTCTCAGCCCACCATACCATTCTTTGCAGCAGAAGGGACCTTCTTAACCAATGCTCGTACATTTTCCTGATCAGCTGCCGAGAGGCTTTCCCATCCAGTCAACTTCTCCACTTCGGTAGAAGGAGACAAATCCATGAAACAGCTGGCATGGTGCCACACAAATCCCTTAGCTCCTTGACCTTCAGGTTTGGAAGATATACGAACCTAGCAAAATAGGAGAAATTAATACGAAGATGTTACAGGACATGATTGGCATAAACCATGTCAATATGTCTCAGTTTTGATTCTGTGTAACATATACAAGAAAAGTTTTAACTTTCATAAACATCTCATGTGATACAAACAGGAAAGTTTTCTAAACATGATGTCAATATTATTCACCCCTAAACACTCTTATTGAGATCAAAGGAAGCAAAAATTAGCTTCAATAAATAAAAGACAACTCTAAGTATCAGTAAACAATGAAAAGATGCTTATTTGAGTTTTATTTTATTTCTTTAAAATATATAACAATTATCAGCAATCGTGCATGCAGAAAAAAGTAAAAGAGAAAAAGAGTTTGCCAAGGCAGTTTGTATAGACTCTAAATTACAATAAAACCAAGCAGAAATAAAATTTCCAAAAAGCAGAAGCAGATGAAGGAAAAAAAATTAAATATTAGAATAATTCACCTCTCCTTTCAAAATCTTTTGACTGCAATGCTTGCATGTAGCACGAGAAGTTTGTGAAGATTCAATAGCGTATTGCAATGCAGTGGCAGCGTTTGTATTTGGGGGTCCACCTGGACCACCACTTTCCACATAGGTTCTAATCTTTTGCTGATCTTCCCATCGAAGCGATTCTAATCCCTCAACATCATCAACCCTACACAACAAAATGATAAAAGTCTGCTATTTTACCCATCCAAGCTAGAGAATCAAAATAAAAACTTAGAACTATACTTACGATTTTATCTGCTTCGCTTTCTTTAGTATGCAACTGGCATGATTCCACATCTAATAAAACAAAACAGACACATCAGAATTTATCCCATTTTTTGTGAAATGATGAAAAAATGTTGTTTAGACTTTAGAGGTTAGAAGTTCCAACTGTTGACAGTAAGAAAGAGAGTAAGAATCAAGAATTAAACTGCTCCATTCACAATGAAGAAAAAGCCATTCCCACAACTTAAAACATCTAAACAACTTCCAAGTCTACATTTTGGTAACCAAACAACCAAGAACAGTACTTTAACCCACGCTAAAAATCAGTTTAAATCCAATTAATTCTAAAGACCCAGAAAATGGAATCAATAAGTAGCAACAACATAACAACAGCTGCATTGAATGTAAACACTGAGAGCATAATCAACAAAGGAGGAACAAAGGAAATAGAAGTAAATGCAGTAGTGTTTGGTATGGCGAGAGTGGGAATGTACCGGCATGAAGCCGTCAAAGTGGGTGGACTGAACCATCTTGCCAAGCCTGAAGACCTCCTTGTCTATAGTGCTCTTGCAGGTTTTGCATGAGGATCGACCTGACTTGGCATACTCCGCCTTCCACGGCTTCGGCGGGTTCGCCATTACACTGCCGGAGGGAAAACAGTGGATTGAACGGCCTCACAGCGTCGGACTACTTATAGGTGAGGGTGAAGAGAAGAAAATTTTGCGGCTTTGAAGAATCTTCTACAGAGGAGTCTCTTTGAGTCGCTTCTCTTTGTCTCCCCAGTTCTCACTCACTTTACCAACCCGCTGTCATTATTCGGAGGTCCACGAATTTTTCTTTTTCATTTTTCTGTTTAATTATTGTTTTCGTGGTTCTGATTTTTTTTTTTTTCTCTTTCTGAATATTCGAATTTCTAAA